GCATTGACTCAAACATTAATGGCCTATCCTAAGGCAAGTGCCAAGCAAGATAATGCTGGTTTACCTTGAGGCAGAAGGCCACCAACCCTGGTTGCTTCTATACCTGTAAATGGACTTAAATCCCAATAAGCTCCCAAAGGTGAGATATGAACTGTAGCCCACAAGAAGGTGTGGGTTTTCTAATTTATACAAGTAGAGTCCAAGGGATTAATGGAAAAATGCATATGAAGGAATATTAAGTTGGATCAGACCAAACATACTGATACGCATCTACAAAAGCAGAGATTCTGAATAAAGAACTCATCAGATTGGGGAGGTAGCTCCATCAACAGAGTGCTTATCTAGCATGCACAAAGACCTGGGTTCAAATCCCAGCACTAAAATAGATGAGATCCTGTCTCAAGACTAAATTTTGCATTTCAAGAAGTTAGAAAGGGCTTCTAACAGTTTGTTTGGCTGAAACATGGATCAAAAACAGCTGATAGCAAATTGGAGATGTTTAGGGATAGAATGTTAGCATGTAATTGTCACTTATGTATTAATATGTTACAAGGGTTGTGGGAGGCCAGCTCCCACCTCTGGAAGGGTTCTTATGAGAGAGGGATAAGAAAATATTACCTAGAAAGAGACCTTGAAGACAAGAAGACAGACAGAAACACAGGATGGCTTCAGGAGGGCCTGGATCACTACCCAATGGCCTCAAAGTGTAGTGGTATTTGCTCCACCCATGACCGAAAGAAGAAAGGCAGAGGCAGAGAAATGTGAGCCCGCTGCTGAAGGAGCAACAAGATGTCAGCAAATGGGTAACACCACAGTCATGTGGTAACAGAGATTTATAGAAATGGGTTGATTTACCATGAAAGAGCTAGCTGGCAAGTGGCTAAAGCCATAGGCCATACAGTTTGTAAGTAATATAAGCCCTTGGGTCCGAGCAGCTGCGGGTGAGAGAGATTTGTCTGGACCATTGGGGACAAGGCAGGGACCCAGAAACTTCTGGCTACATTGAAGGTTTATTCAAAAGGCCTTTTACAACATGCCAAAGGGAGAGGCAAGAGACCTCCCCTTTGCAAGATCAAAGCACACCATACAGCCAAGTGTAGACCCTTCCAAACACCTGGTAAACACGCCCGTGGTCAAATCATCCCCTTATGCAGCCCTGCTGGGTAAAGCAAGCTCAGATACTCAGACCCTGAGTAAATTCTCACTAGGAAACCTCTGTGGGTCTCCACAAAGAGTCCAGGAGACCACTCTGCCAGCCTACATGTTTAGGTGGACTTTCTATTATTTTTTTGTAGTAGCTTCTTGCAAGATATTTTTTCCATCCTGATGACTGATGGGCCCATTTGGATTAATTCCAAAGGAAGGGACAGTGCACATCTTTGCTCTTTACCAGAAAACCTCATTTCAATAGTAGTCTTATAATCTATATAAGATATATATAACATATAATATACTCTATTTATAATCTCCTTGGCGTTCAGAAAGTCGTCTCCATTCAGGGCCTGAGAATCAATTTAGATCTTGTTCTTCTGACCATAAGCAATGTCAGCAGGGTGTGTTAGAAAAGTATGTACAAATGTGTAAGAACAGCGATGCTTTGCCAGGAGGGAAGAGCCTTCTAATGGGCCTCAGCAAAGCCTTGTTGCCTCCACCTTCCTTCCTTCTATCTGGTATCTTCTATTTTAAGAAGTGGCATTGTGATCCTTTTCTGTCCTTTGGCATTACAAATTATAAGAGGAGGCAATTATAGTCAGCAACCCATCACTTGCAAAATTGGTGTGGTACTAGGGGCATGAGATAGGGCCCTGGCACTGATTAGATGCTTGACTAGGTCCATCCTGGATGACTTTCAAGCCTCCTAATTTCTAACTCGCTTCCTAATAGTTTCATGACTCTTACAGGAAAACCCGCTGCAAAAGTACCACAGAAAGAAGTGGCTTCACAGCAATGACTACTCTGCTATAGTGTTTTATAAAACTAAGTTTACTAAGAATTTTTTTTAAACAGCATCTTGCCATGTGATCCAGGGTAGCTTTGAACTCCTGGCATTCCTCCTGTCTCAGCCTCCTACGTGCTGGAATTATAGGCATGCCATTCTGGATTTAAAAATCAAAATGCTCTGAGTTTCTCAAATCATTATTTGAGATTCTATTTAGGACAAAATTCTGGGAGTGCTTTTCTAATTATAAAGCAGCCTTTAAAATCATGATGCTTTTCTAAGGATTAATGGGTGATGCAAATAAATAGGATTCTCATAATATCACCAGACGTAGTGAGAGTGGAAAGGAAGAAAAAAGAAAATAGAAGCATTCATAAGTGCCCTCAGCACAACATTGCTGACGGGAGAAATCCTCAGCCAGGTGAGGGTTACCTGGCATCACTGAGTGGCGGGAAGGCTGACTCGCTCATGCAGTGATGCTAATGTCATGCAGCTGGTTCTAGTCAGTATAAGGAGTTTAAGCCACACAAAAGGCAGCAGCTACACATCACTGAGAAAGACGTGACCAAAATTCCAGACAGCAGCAGGCCGGTAAGTGCAGGGGCACACCAGTGACTGCTCCCAAAGGAGGGCCAGAACAGGGCTGGGCATACAGTAGCTCGGGGAAGGATCCAATTCCTCCAAGAGTACGGTAATGAGGGGATGTCCCTGAGACACAGCCACATGTCATCGTCATGAGCCATTTAGAGTTTGGGTCCTTTGGCAAGTCATTACCCCATTCGTCCTGCAAGTGAAGCACCATAAACAAAGACAGAAAAGCCAGAGAAGTGGAACAATGAGCTAAACAGTCCCAAATATGTTAAGTGCCCCTAACATTATGCAGAAAATTGTCTGAATAAGATAAAGTGGACAAAAGAGATCTCACAAGGTAAAATTATTCATGAAGAAACAGGCTGATAAATACTCAGCTAAGGCCACACTCTCCCATCCAACGACAAAGGACCATTCCAAAAGAGGTGTAGGCTCAGAATATAAGTTACAGGCTACTGTGTGCCATCATGAATGTGCCCCATCTCATCTCATCTTGGAAGCTCAGCGTCAGGCTAGGTCAGTTCTTAGGTGAGAGGGTATAAAGTCACAAGCTACACTGAAAGCTAGTGGAACTGTCATCTCCCTTGAGTTTTGAAATGTATTGGGACCTGTGACCCATGAACAGGAATTTTATAATCTGTATCTTAGACTTTTCACACCAAGGAACCAAAAATTATTTTCAGTTCTACAGGTCTATAGATGGAGATGACTTTTTACCCTGGAGGTGGTTAAAACAATGACAATATGCAGCTTGGAGTTGATACTGTAATGGACTGAAACTCTAGCATTTTGCAATAACTATATTTTACATGGAGGATGAACTGGGCCAAAGAAGACAGGAAGGGTTCCTGGCTCTCAACATGACCATATCCTCATCTCTGGAAACTGGTCCGATGTTACTTTTCATGAGGAAAGTGACTTTAACAGATGAGATCAAGAAGGGAAGACTTGGAGTGGGTTATCCTCCATAATCCAATAGAAGTGAACCGGACTCCTCATAAGAGGAGAGCAGGGCAGTCAGAGATGGAGACAGTGAAAGCTGTCACAGTACCACGGGATCGAGACCCGAAGATTGAGCCCCCTGCAGAAAATGATGAAGGCACGATGGTGGATTCTTCCCGAGCCTCCTACGTTAGTCACTTTCCTTTGGTGTGCAAAATACCTGAAAGAAGTGAAGGAAACGTGTATCTAGGTCATGGTTTTGGAGACTTCAATCCATGGTCATTTGGTTCTGTCCTTTCCGGGTGAAGGAGGCTGCTCATCTCACGGTGGCCAGGGAACAGAAGGGCCAGCAACAAGACCCAGCTTTCCGAAGTATACTAACAACAAGGTTCTCTAAGTTTCTATCATCTCTATCAGTCCATTAAACTAGGAATCCATTTGTCTATTAATGAGCTCATAAGTCTCATGATCCAATCTCCTCCCAGAATTCCACCTCTGGTCACTGCTGTGCTGGGGACCAAGTGCTCAACATCTGAGCCCTTGGAGGACATTCCAAGTCCAAACCACAACTTTTCTAGATGAAACACAGCCCTGTTAATACTTTGTTTTTAGTTTTCTGGGGCTGGTTTTAGCCTTGTATACTATAATTAAAAAAAAAAGTTTGTGTTGCCTTAAGCCATTGTCTGTCCAAAATTATAAAAGCAGTGGAAAATTAACTCAGAAACCAACATCTGAGTCACCTGCAGTCTGCTGGGCTGAAATGGAAATTCTTGGTCTTGCTCAGAAATTTTGCTTCTGTGGAAGCATCCATGAGGCTGAGAGCGCCTAGCCTGCTAACTTGTAAGAGGTTATAAAGTCTTAGGCTTTTCAAGGTTCTTAACATTTTGTACTTAAAATTATGTTGCACTCAGGAACATCCCTCCTATTGTTTAGTCCTCTAAGTCCTCTTCTGGCCAATCAGCCTCATAATATGATCTCAAATACCTTTCAACCATTATTAAGAAGTAGCCCATAATTTATATTTAATTGATATAAATTATTACTACTCATGCAAGTTAATAAGGTCAATCTTGTTGTGTTGCATAAAAATATACATGAAGGTAACATGTATCTATTTGTAAGGATTCATTAAAATGGCTTTAATTATACTAAATAATCCTTGATCTACTACTTTATTTTGGTCTCTTAAAGAATTGAACTTTGGGGTGGTGGTGGTGGTGGTGGTGGACGCCTTTAATCCCAGCACTCTTCGGAGGGGCAGGGACAGGCGGATCTCTGTGAGTTCAAGGCCAGCCTAGTCTACAGAGTGAGATCCAGGACAGGCACCAAAGCTACACAGAGGGAAAAAAAAAATTGAACTTCGCTTCAAAGACATTTTCAGAAAGGAACTTCCTTGGATGGAGTCATTCCCAAACCAAGCTCCTGTGTAGCTGAGTCTACACTCTCAGAAATCAAGAGACATTGCAGACATGGGATAGCTTTTTAGAGAAATGAAAACCTGCCTGTGTTAAAATCAAGCCAGAGAAAATTCCTGTGCAATAAATGCATTTATTTTGCAACTTAAGCAAGACAAATGACAAATCACAAAGACAATGCTACCCAGAGACGAGCAGCTGGCCATGCGTACAACTCACCGTGTGCAAGACTGAGTTGTTTCTGACGCCAGCAAATTAGGGTTGATTCCTTTTTGAAACGAACATGTTGCTCATGTTAACATCACCCCATCCTGAACATGTTACTGTGGTACACACAACCCACTGACCATCTCGGCTCCAAGCCAGGCAGTCAACATCTACACACCCGCCAAAGCAGACAGACAGCATGGCAAACAGTATCTTGTTTTGAAGCCAAAGAGTTCAGCAGTGTGACCACACAGGGATGCTCAGAAGGGACCCAATCAGCCAGATGACAATCTGCCCTACCATTTTTGGAGAGCTCAAATGCTTGTGAAGTGCTTTAGGCTGGCACTCACTGGGGTCAGAGCTGTCCCAGATGGAGTTCCTCAGATAAACTGCCTCAGTGTGTCTCAGCAGAAGCACTGTCACAGTGTGTGACTCTCCTGGACTCCTGCTAAAGGCTCCCCTAACTAACATATGACCTGTGGTGGTACTGTGTTCCCCAAAATATTGTGTACCCTAATAAACTTATCCGGGGTCAGAGACAGAACAGCCACTAGATACAAAGGCTAGAAAACGGTGGCACTCACACCTTTAATCCTAGCATTCCAGAGGCAGAAATCCCTCTGGATCTCTGTGAGTTCAAGGCCACATTAGAAACAGTCAGTCATGGTGACTCACACCTTTAATCCCAGAAAGTGAGCCTTTAATCCCAGGGAGTGACGGCAGAAAGAGAAAGATATATAAGGTGTGAAGACTAGAAACTAGAAGCTTTTAGCTGGTTAAGCTTCAGGCTTTCGAGCAGCAGTTCAGCTGAGAGCCATTGGGATGAGGACACAGAAGCTTCCAATCTGAGGAAACAAGACCAGCTGAGAAGTTGGCCAGGTGAGGTTAGCTGTGGCTTGTTCTGTCTCTTTGATCTTCCAGTTCACCCCAATACCTGGCTCAGGTTTGATTTTATTAATAAGAACTTTTAAGATTCCTGCTATAATGACCTAGTGCAGGACTGACTGGAGGGGAGGGTACCAAGACCTGGAGAGCCTGCAATCAGAGCCAGGATGCCATGTTCTATTTTCTACTGCTTCTATATACGTTAGCTCGTCTTGGATGCTAAGTCTGAAAGTCACAAAATACTTGAGCTGGGATGGGTCGTCTACTCCAGATATGCCGCCTTACCTTTAAAGCCATGCAGTCCAGAGAGGTAAAGCAGCTGTTATAGGCAAAGAATGGTAGCAAATGGGCTAGATCAGAATGCAGTGACCTAACCCTCACCCAGGGCAGCTCAACTGTATATGTAGCCAATTTTTTCAATAAGGAAGCTTTAATACTGTGTGTTTTTAATCCAAAAAGGGAAAGAAACAAAACTCACTACCTCCCCCCTCAAAAAAGACAACAAAATGGTGCCTTCCTTCTCCAAACTCTACACCTTTATCACTAAGTCCCAGCCCTAGCCTAGATCTTAAACTTTCAACATCATCCACTCTCTCTCTCTCTCTCTCTACACACACACACACACACACACACACACACACACACACACACACACACACACACACCAAGGGGGGGGGGGTAGGTTTCTGGCTATACAGAGACAGAATACATCCTCAGGAAGGTGCCCACAAGCATTTCTCAGTCCAGGTCTACACGTGAAGTCTGGGAAACTGGCTTATTTTCTAGAAGAACAGGTGGTTCTGAAATCAGAAGATCATCCTCCCCAAAGGAGTTCTGGTCCGTGTTCACGAAGTTGGGGATGTCAAACTTCATAAACCTGCTCAGCTCCTCCTCAGGCCTCCCACTGCTTCTGATGGCTTCCTGGAGTTGGACATCACTGTCGATGGCTGTTGTTTGGTGGCAGACTTTGACCCTGTCCAAGTGTTCCACTTCATTGATATAACAGTGGAAGAGAGACCTGGACTCCTCGTTACCCTGACGAGAGAACACCTTATCTGACTCCATTGGTTTCCCAAAGTCTGACACAAAGCTGTTCATTCTGAATCTCTTCTCTGATGACTCTGCATTGCTACAAAGACAAGAAAGAGAGGTCACAGACCTGCAGCTCACTCACCTACAGGCTCATGGTGTCCTGCATGGAGGGCAGGCCAAGAGATTCCCAGGAAGCACCTACTGGGTGTCCCTTAAGGTTATGCAGACCAGCACTAGCAAAGAGATGCATCACTTCTAAACATAGGACTCCAAGACAAAAACCTCTGGATGAAAGCTGCTGGATTTTCCTGAGGGCAGATAGGGTACAGGACCCCCCAGCATCCCGTAAGCACTCCAGGGATCTCTAGGTATTCTTAGATCTCCTGAATTGATATCAATTTTTAATCTTTATTTTTGTGCTTTTGTATATGTGATGTTTATGTGTACATATGTGTTTGTGTGTGAATATGTGTACAGGCGCATGTGGAGACATGAAGTCGATATCCAGTGTCAATTATTTCTACACCTTTGTTTTGTTTTTACTTTTATGAGGCAGGGTCTTTCACTGAACCTGTAGCTCACTGATTCAGCTTAGGCTGGCTAGCCAGCAAGAACCAGGGAATCCCCCTGCCTCTACCTTTCCCAGTGCTGGGATTACAGTCACACAGCACATACTGGTTTTCATGTGGGCTTTGGGGATCCAAAGTCAGGTCCTCATTCTTACATGGCTATCACTTTAGCAACTAGGCTATCTCCCAGCCTTGCATCAAAGTCAATTTAGGTGCTTCTAAAGAAACAGAGTCCTGCCTTACAGACCTTTAGGATCTCTGGAGATACTCAGTAATCAGCATTTTCATAGAATCCCCAACCATCATTGCTACAGTGATGTTCAAACTCACAGGCCTATAGCATACAGCATGGGTCTCCAGCAGCCAGAACAGGCTAACAGCACTTCCTGGTAGAAGTCCTGTCAGTATCTACCAAGTTGCTCCTTTCTCTCAGCCCCTCCTGAGTCATCTAGGAGCCATCTCTGCAAGAAACCTTTTCCGATTCTCATGACCTGGGGTAGCTGCTCTATGGGGACACGGGGTGCTTCTCCTCATCCATCTTCCTCTGTGTTGTACCTATTTCTCCACTTCTCTGTCACCTCCTTTAGGTTGTAAGCTCTCCAGGGAAGGCACTGTGAGCTTCTTGCCTACTGCATCCCCAGTTCCAAGAACAGCAGTAGGTATATACTAATTGCTCAGCATGTTTTTATTGGATCAGTGAATGAACACATCAGTCATGAAAAGAACTGAAATTAAAGCAAATCTTGGCTTGGCAAGATGCCTCTTCTACAGATCCTGCAGGCTGGAAATAAGGTCAAAGGCATGCTCAGCTAAGGCCTAAACCCGGAAGCAGATGAACCTGAATGGAAAGATGACTGACAGTGTAGATTCCAGAGCCAGTGATGTGGGAGGTCCAACAATCAATCCCACGCAGGTCTCTCCTCTGTCTTCCTGTATTTGGCTATAGGAAACCACCTTGTTTTTGCCCCCCACATCTCCAAGAGCTGCTCAAGAGTCTGCCATGGGGCCTCCTCCCCAGGGTGCTTGGCAAGCACCAACCATCTGGCACTTGGTACCTTCTACAACTGGCCAGCCTGGGTGCTTGCACAGGCCCAGATACCATGGTAGTGGTGGGCTATCTTCCAGCTATTTATTAGTGCGAATCGCCCTCAAGAAAGGTGGCGAAAACCCTGCAGTCATGTTCAACGTTTAACACAGCATGGCTGTTTACGAAGTTCACCTTCAAGGACCTTGGGTTACAGGTTAGAGAGATGGTATAGCAGCCAAGAGCCAAGCCTGACTGTTCTTCCAGAGAACCTGAGTGCTTAGTAACTACCCGTTACTCTAGATTCAAGGATCTGACACCCTCTTCAGGCCTCTGTGGCTACCTACACACAAAGGGCATACAGATACACACATACACATAAATTTTTTATTTAAAACCTTAAGTTACAAAAAAAATATGTTTTAAGTAAATTTATGATCTTGTGGGCCACATACATAGATATCCTCTGCAAGATACAGCCTGCAGGCCTCAATTCACACAAGTATGCTAGAGGGCGATACTCTTAAAGCCACTTAGCCCTTGTTGATTCATACCTGTGAATATCTTAGGTAATGGACACAGCGACTGTCAAAAGATGCTCTCTAACAGTGAGTGGGGAGCTTGCAGCTGTACCCGGCCTTCAGTCCTCAGGAATGAAATACACGCATTATTGCTAGACTCATAAAACGTGTGGCCTGGGTACCACTCCATAGGTTATATGTTCTCCTGACAGAGAACCAGCTGCAGCTTCAGCCTCTCAAACTTGGGAGGTCCTGGGGGGAACTAAAGCTCACAACATCTACAGGAGTAGTTAAAAAGAAGTTTAAAATTGTCCACAGCTCCAGCTACATCTGTGGAAATAGAAAATTACAAGGTCCAAACATCTTAAATTCCAACTTAGCTAAAATGACATCGGAAACCAGAAGCCTCAAGAGTCAAGAACTGGAACCTTGGAAGGCTGGGCTAATGGCTGATACCATCATGAAAACAGAGCGCTCAAAGAATGTTGCCAGAAAATATTATCCTCAGGAATCCCAGTTCCTCATTTGCGACAGTTCATACCCAAGTCTATGCTGTTGTTTTGCAGCCGAGATCTAGCTAGAGTGTTTAGAAGTCTTCCCACGTCATCCTAAGGTCTGAGAAATAAAGACTGTTTATTTTGCTAGAAACTTGGACCTGTTTCCTCACTGTTTTGAAAATGTGTATTCTTTATTTTTAATTTGGATTTCACTAATCATCTCCAACACCCATCTGTTTCCCTGGCTAGACCTGACTGTTTCAAGCCTTGGCATTTTCTCACTATAGGGTGCACCCAATATTCTCCAGGCCTGCGGGTTATCAGCACCAGAATAGACAGCATCTCCCAGAAGGACCTGTTCAGTTCTCTAACCCATGCAGTGACTGTCCTTACTCGCCATGTCCCACCCCATCTACTTAACTACTTTCAAGTCCCCACCACCCTCTGCCTGATATTCCTAATCCTTTCCCACGTCCTCTCTCTCACCAATCCCCTCACTCACTCTACAGTATAGCTACAGTGGACCCGACTGCCCCTCTTTATGCCTCTGTTTGTGATGTCCAGCAGGCCTCTATCCTGATGTGGTCACTGCCTCCATGGCAAGACTCTGTGATCTGGTTAACAGGAAGGCATCTGTTCATCCACCCCTCTCCTGCATCTTTTTCCGGTTTCTCTCACAGGTCATGCTTCTCTGCCTTCTGAGGGAGCCATCTGCCTCTGGCCTTTCTGCACATTGGTAAATATTTGTGTCCCTCAAAGGGCTTTGCAAAACATGGCCTCAGTGGGTGCTATATGAAACACTGAACACAAGATTGTATCTAGAGGCTTGTCCCAAACCCTGACTACTATGAGACACAGCCATTTCAGATTGGTCTTTTTGTGACAGAAATCCAAATCAAATCAGGAGGATGGACACACACACACACCCCTCCAGCTGCAGAGGACAACACAGGTTATGCCCTGAGTCAGTCCCAAAGAATTTCCCCGATTCCCTACAAATGCTTGCTGCCGGGCTGAGTCACCACACACCAATTACTCTCCTCATCTACTCAGGGATGGAAGCGGGCTGAGCAGAATGGTGGTCAGCCTGCCATTTCCAACAGTCACTTCCACAGGGGCTCTTACAAGCTGAGACACGTCCTCCTAAGAGTGAAATTCTGTGAGAAAATAACCACCACCACTTACAGAGACACAGTCTGTGCCAAGAGTTTACACACGGTGTAAATCAGCCTGACGGGGGTGCCAAGCACACACGCTGATGAAAGCCCTTCTGTGTACACCTTTTGGTGATTAGCAGGGAGATGTCAGGCTGTGTGGGCAGGGAAAAGTCTACCCTTAGAATTCTCCTCAGCATGGCCCTGGGCAGGCAGCAACTACGCACTTAGTAAAACCTCTTAATTGATGGGGAAACAAAGGCAAGTCAGCCAAGGTTTCTGGGATGGACCCAACACAGCTTTCCCACCTGTTGACAGTGGTCATTGGCATCTTGAGATCCCAGGGTTCCTTAGCAACCACTCACCATGTCTGCACCCTGCCAGCTAGCCCAGGGCTGCGGTGAGCACCAGTGACTCCCAGCGCTGACATTTTCACGGTGTCTGCTCTTGTTACACACCCCCATCCCGCAGTGAGTGCCATATTCTGCTAAATTACAATTTGAGAGAAAATGTCATCCCCAGTTTTATAAGATCACGAGCAAGCCTGTATTCGCCCTTAAATAAAAGCTACATCTACCAGGACATGAGTCATTTAGCAAAGGCTACAAAAGAAGGCCATTTGTGGTGGATGTCTGAGGCTTGGAATTTTTTTTTTTAAGAAGTCCAAAATATCCAACATAAAAATGAATCCAAGACCTCTCTAACCCTAACCCTACTGGCCTCTCTGACAGATGTCTGCTAATGGACTAAAATGCTCCAAGATACCACTCAGGCTCCCCCACTGACAAGTGAGACAGAATGGCTTTTCACTATCTCTCCAACATCCAGGTAAGAGCTTCCCCGCCACACACAAACAATACTCCACGGGAAAAATTACCACCATCAAAGCTGCTTCTGAGGCCTAAAAGCTTTTAATAAAGAGGAAGCAGCTTCCTACCTGGATCTCTCCCTAGCCTTTCTTTCCTCATGCCCACAGGCACCTGGCTCTCTCCTCCTCTAGACAGGAAGCCCACCATACCACTGTTCCCCATCCTGAGTCAGCAGGAGGGCACGACTGGTTCTGATCAGTGACTGACAGGAGGAAAGGATGTGTACTACTTCCCAGCTAAAGGACAGGAAGGTCAGAATCCCCATGCATGCTGTCACAACAGCTGAGGGACTCGATGCTCTAGAGCAGTGGTCCTCAACCTTCCTGATGCTGCGACACTTAATACAGTTTCTCATGTTGTTGTTGTTGTCGTCGTCATGACCTTCTCGACTGTAAGATTATTGTAATTCTACCACTGTTATGAATCGTAATGTAAATATCTGATATGCGACCTCTGGGAAAGGGGGTCATGACCCACAGGTTGAGAACCACTGCTCTAATGGAAGAAACCTCTGTCTGTCCCTTGCCAACGTGTCATGTCAACTTGAGGAAGAGTCAGCCTGTGCTGTGCTCTCCTGACATCCCAGCGGCACTAATGTCCCATGACCCAGGTTAGCCCAAATAATCCCTCCCAGTGCCACATCTAAACATGGTCCCAGACTTGGTGAAGAAGTAGTTAAGCTGTAGCTCTGGGTTGATCCACTATCTCCTGAGAGTGAAGGCCCTTTCACTTTGTTAGAAGCATGCAGCGTCCTGGTCTGTGACTGAGCACAGTTCAGAATGACTCCTTAAGGAAGTAGGCTAGACAGGGTTCTCCAGAGAAACAACAGAATTGTTTCTGGCCCCTCTCTCTCTGCCTCCATCCCTCCCCTTCCTTCTCGCCCTCTCCTCTTTCCCTCTTTCTTCCCAGTCTCTCCCCATTGCCTCTACTCCATGCATGCATATGTGTGTAGAGAAATTTCATTCCAGAATGGGCTCATTCATACTCTGTAAGTTCTACAGGCTGTAAATTCGGGGAAGAATTCTTGTTTTGGCTGTCAAGATGATTCTAGAAAGTCACTCAGCTGAATGAATGAAGCCCACCCACCTTCCAGAGGGTAATCTGTCCAGCCCTAGCTTAAAGTATGCAGATTTAAGTATTAACTTCATTTTTTAAAAAATAGTTGTATAGAAACACCTAGAGTAGTGTTTGGCCAAAGAGCTAGATAGCATGGCCTAGCTAGGTGTAGGTACAATGTTTTGCCTGCTCGTATGTACACCAGGTGATGTCTGGTGCCAAATGAGGCCAGAAGAGGACATCAGATCCCCTGGAAGTAGAGTTACAGATAGTCATGAGCTGCCATGTGGGTACTGGGAATCAAACCAGGGTCCTCCGGAAGAGCAGTCAATGCTCTTAACCACTGAGCCATCTCTCTGATCTGTTTTGTCTGTTTGTTTTAACCTTGTCTTTTCTTCCTATTACAAACCACACCACGTATTTGGATTTCCTAGAACAAGAATACAAAAAGCAAAAGTGTATGTTTTTTTTTTGTTTTTTTAGGGAAAAGAGGATGAAGAAAAGGGAGAGGGGAAGGAGGAGAGAGGGAAAATGAGAATATTTCTAGAGGCTTTTAAAGGGATTCTCCAGTATATGTCAGCTTATATTTAAACATGACAGCATTTGCCCATCATTTAGAATGTTTGTATTTAAAGGATTTCTCTAGCTCCTGAGGTCTCAAGCAAACTATGTGATGGGCTGAATAGTTCCCTTTCATTGGGATTTTTCATTATAGTTTAAGTATTGACAAAGAACCCACCACAACAGGCAGGAGAGATCACGTGTGGAGACACAGGTAGGGAAGTGCTGCTGCCCGGCTCAATTCTGTAAACACATCAGCATTTGCAGCCAATGTCTCCCATAGAAAATCCTTTTCAAAAAAGGGAGAAGGTGCATCTGAACTTCAGTATAAAACTCAGATCTGGGGTCAGCATGAACATGGCAGGGAAGGACCAAGAAGCCTGATTTGATAAGGGCAACAAGAGGCAAAAGGTGGGGGAGAAAGTGATCTCTCCTGGACAGCACCTGCATCTGGGTAGCAATCCATGCCCGACCCACCTCCCCATCCCGGAATGGCCCAACCCTGATTCCCGGTCTAGTTCTATGTGAAACACAGAGTAGCCCAGACTTACTCTTGATGTGGGGCACCTGTCTTCGTCAGCAAAGTCAGCACAAAAAACATGAAAATCACAAAGACCGCAAGACCAACCCAGAATCCAATCACAATGGAATCTGCAAGACAGGTAAAGTGAGATTAGTGTTCTGAGGGATTTGAACTAGCTTAGAAACATTTCAGGACTCTGAGCTTTCTGGAGATTCCAGGGTGCACCACATATAACAAGAAATCAGTCAACCATCACAATGGGGGTGTGAAGACAGGTCACAGGTTATCCCAAGCTCCAATCTTCTACTTTGCAGCCTTGGGTTAGATTTTTTTTTTTTTTCTGAGACATTTAAAATGAGTTGACTCTACTCCACCTCATTCATGTTCATGTTGTCGCAATTCAGGTCTTGATCACTTTTTGGAATGGACGTATAGCTGACCTCCTGACCACAACAAACAAAAGAATACCTCCTGCTTTCCCTGCCTCGGTCCTTTGCTGCACAAGCTGCTTTATCCCAGCTCCCAGGCTGAGGCTGGCCTACACTGGCTGGTTGAAAGTGCTTCTCAGAGCACTTTGCTCAGCTGAGAAGGTATCCCGCAGGGCTGGCTTTTATCATTCCAATGGCCATCCTTGTCTCCTAATTTACTCCTACTTTAAACCCCATTTGGACTGGGGACATTGTGTCCCTGTGTTTGCTTTAGCTCCTGGCTACAGCTTCCTCACACCAGCACTTGAACAGAAATCCTCACCACTTTGGAGCTGGTCGAAGTCTGCCCTGCAGGGTCCATCCTGTATATTTAGCACTCTGGATAAAAAGTAATGTTGCACTCCTGGTATTTAATCCCAAATGCTAAAGAAACAGCAATTTCTTTAGATCTTGCCTTTTACTATAATGGAAATAAGGCATAAAGGTAAAGGGGGGGGGCGCGTAGAGAGGTGTCTTCAGGATGGTTTAGCAGAAAAAGCACTTGTGAAGAAATCTTGACATTCTGAATTTGTGTCCCAGAACCCATGAAAGCTAGGATGAGAGAACCAACTCCACAAAGTTGTCCTCTACATGAATACCAAGGCATGTGTGTGCACCCACCCACACACCATGCACACACATACAATAATAAAAAGACATAAAGCAAATCACAAAAAACACAAGTGTTCAAGTACAGCTGACTTGAAATTATAAATCTCAGTGATTTGGGCATGTGCTATGGTAACATGGTGTATGGTTATCTTCAATTCTACACACTGTATTTTAGCAACTGCTTCATAGAAAGAGTCAACCCTAAAACTGTAACAGTTTTTTTTTTCTTTTGGGCCACCAACCAGCTCCCAAATCATGACACGGAAACTGGTTAGTAGTTAGGAAGGCTTGGCCTTATCTTAGCTTTCGTTTTAATCTCTTTCTCTTTATCTACATTTTGTCTTGGGGCTTTTTACTTTCCTTTCATTCTGTAAGTCCTACTTTCCTGTGTCCTCTGTGGCTGGCTGGCCGCTGCCTGGCTTCTGGCCCGGGGCATCTCCTTTTCTTTCTCCCTCATTCTCTCTTCTCTGGAGCCTAGATTTCTCCTCCCACTTATTCTCTCTGCCCACCAGCCCCGCCTATCCCTCTACTATCTACCTATTGGCTGTTCAGCTTTTTATTAGACCAATCAGGTGCCTTAGGCAGGCAAGGTGAAACAGCAACACATCTTTACATAATTAAATGCAGCATAAACAAATATAACACTTTACATAGTTAAAGTAATATTTCACAACATTAACAAATGTAACACATCTTTGCCTAGTTAAAGTAATATTTCACAGCCGGGCGGTGGTGGCACACGCCTTTAATCCCAGCACTCGGGAGGCAGAGCCAGGCGGATCTCTGTGAGTTCGAGGCCAGCCTGGACTACCAAGTGAGTTCCAGGAAAGGCGCAAAGCTACACAGAGAAACCCTGTCTCGAAAAACCAAAAAAAAAAAAAAAAAGTAGTATTTCACAACAAACCCTAAAACTACATGCCAGTGTCAGGTTTCAGGCCCAGAATTAAAATGAAGTCCCACCATGATGAGTGACATTTCCAAATCTGTTTACTAAGAAGGTCTCTCCTAAGGACAGTATGGTAGGGGTCCCTGAGAGCCAGGGAAAGAAAACAATAAATAGCCTTGTGGACTGAGCAATGTCCTTATATACATAAACTTGACCAGCTTTCTCCTTCACCCCTTCCTTGCTTAATAAGCCTTCCCAAAGCCTTAAAGGAAGAGCAGAGTGGCTGCCCTGAGCTTTCCTCTCGACTAAAATGCCTATGTGAGATCCTGGTCTGTCTTGGAGCAGTCCTCTCTTCTACATTCAGGCCATCTTTAGACTCCCACCTTAAGGATTTAAAATGGTCAATAAAATTATATGTTAGCGTACATGAGAGACAAAACAAAAGTCATACAAAAGGCCCCATTTTACGGTATTGGTTGCTCTGGGCTTTTGTTTGTCTGTAATAAGAGTTTGGCCAGGATTGCTATCGTAATTAAAAGCTGCTTTCCCAGGGAAGCCTCACTACCCAGTCTCTTTGTTCAGAACCCACAACAGCAGCTTCTGTAGGGAACAGCGGACCAGTCCACACTTCCCCTTTCCTAAGTAGGGAGTGGGCAGAGGAGAAGGGAAGGGATGCTAAGACTAACTCTATGGCACAGGAGTTAAAACTGCACTGCCCTCTGTGGCCACGCCCCCACCCCGCCCACAGGTACTGGCATCCCTAAAACTCTGGAGTCACCACTGCTTCTGAGGCCACACCTTCACCAGTGGGCTCTCTTCAGGACTCAGAGTTTGCCTCATGCTGCCAAGCCTGAGTGTCTCTCCATGACCCCTTTGATCCTGGGGTTTTCAATGAAGCTGAGACAGCACCTTCATCCATGGCCTCTCCTGGGCTCTCTCTGGAGAGATGCCAACTCTGCCCTACAGTGCCAAGCCTCGGCCCTTTTCCTTGATCCCTTCATGCCTTCAAAACCAGTACCATGGGGGAGACTTACACCTTATCAAGTCCAGCTGCCAACTTGGAACTCGGCCTTGGGTCCCCTGGACCACAGCTTCTGTGGGCTGACCCTGAGTAAATACTTCCCAGAAGATTTTACCTCGAGGAAGCCAGTCTCAATCACAGCTGATGTCTCAGCTCCAGCTAATCTTCATCCATTTCCTCAGTAAAACAAAGGTTTCACTTCTCTATATATTTCACAAACAGCCCAATGGAGTCTTTGCTTCTCTCTGAAACTTCACGGTCCAGACTTGTATCATCTGCATTGTGCTCAGCATGACCTTTCGAGTTCCCACAATAGCTCATTGACCTCTAGGCACTCAGTGACTTTTCAGTCCAAAGTTCCAACATCCTCTCTCATGGTCCTCCCCCCCCCCCCCCCCCCCCCCCCCCCCCCCCCGCCCAAAAAACAAACAAACAAAAAACCAAAAAACCACTGTCAGGTCCAAAACAGCAATACTCAAATTCCTGTGCTAGTTTCCTCCACATCCCTCACCCCCATGATAAACACTGACCAAAACCAACTTGGGGAAGGAAGGGCTTATTTTACCTTACATGGAGTCCATCACCAGGGGAAGTGAAGGCAGGAACTCAAGGTCAGAACCTGGAGGTAGAAACTGACGCAGAATCCATGGAGGAGGAACATTGCTTACAGGATTGCTCAGCCAGCTTTCTTATACAACTCAAGACAACCTGCCCCAGGTGGAACTACAATGACCCGGCCCCTCCCACGTTAATCACTAATCAAGAAAATGCCCTGCAGACTTGCACACAGGCCAAATCTGATGGCGGACAGTCCTCAATAATTGAAGTGCCCTCTTCTCAGGTGACTTCTCCTGTGTGTCAGGTTGATAGACTCTAAGCCACACAGATGCCTACCGTCTGACATTAACTGTACCATGGGGCTCAATCCCAGGTCCCTCCTCCCCCAGTTTCCTAATCACACCCACTCACCAGCCTCTTAGCCTTGAAAGGCATTTAAATGACGAGGGCTCTCAGACTTATACCTTCATCCTCACCCCCTTGTCTTCTTGGATGTCTGCTAAGTGTCTTAATCTTACAGGTGCAAACTGAGCCCTGATGTTCCTCCCTCACACCTGTCTCTCCCTTACACTTCTTCGTCCAAGTTCATGGCCATTTCATTCTACCAATTACTCCGGTCACAAAGCTTCAAAGCAAGCTTGCCTGTTCTCTTAAGCCCATGTCAAGCCACTGACAAATCAGGAGAGATCCCAGTTTACAAACATCTGAAACCCATGCACTTCTTGCCAGTTGGCTTCAGGCTGCACCTTGGCACATCAATGGCTACACCGAGGAGTACCTCACTGGTCCTTGCTTCTAACCTCGCTCACTTCAATCTCAGGCACGGTGATCCCAGTAGAACCCAAGGCAGAGGATGTTCCTGTTTCAAACCCTTATCTGACTTCTTAGCCCGATCTCTATGTCTCTCCCCATGTCCTGCTCTCCTTGACAGCTCTACTCTTGGGTTCTACACCTCTCTGTATGGAATTCACTTCTCTGGGACCAGGATGACCTCCCTTTTCCTCACATGTTCCAGTTCATTCTGGCCATGGAGCACTTTCTGACATGGTCTTCCCTCAGACATGGCTCAATCTCACAATTCCTTCAGATCTTTCCCTCAGATTTCTCCCTTTCAGAAAGGGCTTCCAAGGCATGGCACAAATCCAAGCTTTGAGAGAAGGTGCTTTTGGATTTTCGGCTCACTGCTGTCTCTCTGGTACTTAACATGATTCCATTCATATTAGGCGCTCAGGAAATATGCTGAAGTCATAAATGAGTAATTTCCACTCTAAGTAGCAACCATGACTTCTGTAGGCTGAACAAGTTCATCTGAGGATGCACCTGCTCTTGCCAAATGTGGTACACATAAAGAGAGTTGACCATAATGGCCACTCTTGCCCACAATATACACTTCTATGAAAATATTCTATTGCCATTCTGTTTGCCAAACTAGCTTTATATGTCACCCAGTAAAACAGCATGTCATATTAAAGGTAAGGGTTTCTGCTTTTTTTTAAATGAAGTCCAGGAGCTGAAGAAATGGCTCAGCAGTTAAGAGCACATGCTGTTCCTTCAGAGGACCAGGTTTCTTTTCCCAGCACCCATATGATGGCTCACAATTGTCTATAACCCCAGTTCCAGATGACCTGATGCCCCCTTCTGGTCTCTGCGGACACTAGGCACACATGTTGTACAGACAAACATGCAGACAAAACACTAACATACATAAAAGAAATAAAATAAAAACAATAAAATGAAAGAATGCATAGATGTTCACATTCCCATGGTTGACATTCCTGGGGCTTTTTACTTTCCTGTATACCAAAGGGGCATATCTGTTTATGTTCCACTCTCCTCTTAGCCTCGTATGCTATCAGATTCCTGTGCCAGCAGTGAGTGCTCATGTGAATATTTTGTATTTTCATGACATTAGTGTTGAAAAAAAAAAGCATTCTCATTAATAGTATGCAATGTGCCACAGCTCTACCTCAGTTTTTTTAAAGGAAATTCTTTTTTCAAACAATAATCATTTCTATAACCAAAAAGAATATGCTCAAAGGAGAGCTGCCTTGGTTGTCTCTGGAAATGTGCCAATGAAAATTATAGCAGCAGGCTGTCTGTGGAGCCCCTTAGACCAAGGCAAAGAGACAAGAGCAGGCAGAAACGGCACTGATGGAAAGGCTCACGTGACAGGGAGGACGGCACTCCACCAGTCTTTTCGATTTCCACCAAAATTCATCAAAACCTCTAGGAAAGGTTATCCCATTTAAAACAACAGACTAAAGAACTTACAAAGTTTAGGAGGATGATTTCATACTCAGACCACAAGACCCTTATTCAGATAATTAATGAGAGCATATCCTAAGGGGTTCATGCACTTTCTTTTCATTCCCCATAAATACTGGGCAAGTGTCAACAAAGAAACAAGAAAAGCAATCCACTATTACTGTAAGCATGAAGGGTATGTGATTTCGACGGTGGCTTTGCTTAAGGAAGGAAAGGAGAGATCCCTCCTTGCAGTGAATGGGCATGGGTGCTAGTGGGTACAAGTATCACTGATGTGAAAAGGGAAGGGAGGGGGAAGGAGGAAGGGAGAGAGGGGAGGGAGGGAGAGAGGGGAGGGAGGGAAGCCTGCCTGTGATTTTGATTTCTCATATTTCCTGATGTGCCACTCGGTCTGGACCAGTTAAGAGCCTAAAATGGAGGGCTGGAAAGATGGCTCAGCAGTTAAGAGCACATATTATCCTTGCATCAGACCCAAGTTCATTTCCTAGCACCCAGATCGGGTAACACACAATTACCTGTAACCCCAGCTACAGGGGAACGGATCTCCTCTCCTGGCCTCTGAAGGAACTAGACAGACAGACAGACACACACACACACAGAGAGAGAGAGAGAGAGAGAGAGAGAGAGAGAGATGATAGATAGATAGATAGATAGATAGATAGATAGATAGATGATAAAATAAATCTTTAACAATGAGTCTAAAATGTGTGCAGTACTTATGTATACATTTCAAAACAACTGGACATCACAGTGGTTGGCAGTGCTTGCCTATAATATCAGTTCTGCCTGTCAAAATAAGGATGCTTCATGTAAGTCAGAAAGCATTGACTCTGAGAGAAATACAACAGTAACCTTTTACAGAATTGCATTGCTTAGTGGCAGATCACTAACCACACCAATTCCCGGAAACAACACTGATGCCTGCACCTCCATGGTATATGATGGGAGGTTGTTCTCATCTGTCTCTGTGAACACTGCTCTTCAGGAGTCCAGAAGTCCAATAGGATTTTTGAAATGTTTTAAAATATTTATTTATTTTTATTTTATGTGTATTGGTGTTTAGCCTGTGTGTGTGTGTGTACCACTGTGTTCAGTGCCCACAAAGGCCAGAAGAGGGCACTGTATCCCTTTGAACTGGCGTTACAGGTAGTTGTGAGCAGCCCTGTGGGTGTTGGGAATTAAACCTGGGACCTCTGGAAGAGCAGCCCATGCTCTAAACCACTGAGCCATCTCTTCATCCTTCCAATGGGTTTCTAAATAATATTACTGGCAAGTACAAAAGAAGAGTCTTCATGCAATCGCTCTGGATCCTATTTCTGTACACATTTTTGTTGTTATTCAAACACTGATGCTTTGAGGGAGCTGGAATAGTTAATGCTTTCTTTTTTTTCTTTTTTTTTTTTTTTTTTTTCTTTTTTTTTTTTTTTTTTTACAAAAAAGCTCTTTCTAAGGCTAAAACACTAATCCACACTCTTCCACCAAGGGGGGTGTTGTTTTAAGTCCTTTGAAAACCAGAATTACCAATGTCCCCATATCATACCACTCCAGGGCAATCAGCCTATGTGAAAGGGGTACTTGGTATTTAGAGATACAAGACCCTTCTGTAAGAAGATGGATATCAGGAAAAAGCAGTCACGGGGATGTCACGGGTTAACACAAACATGTGATGGTTACCCCAGGGAGCAGCACAGGACTTACACTTATGAGCCTTCAGTCCCTCGAAGGACACTGGTCCAATCTCATAGTACTCATACTCCCAGGTGTAATCAGCATTAGATGCTGGCTGCAGGGATGTTCTGTTAGAAGTCAGCCTCTGGGCAGACATCTCCACCCTGCACACATGGAGAAAGGCAAGAGCAAAACTCATCAGTCTGTTCACAGATGTACAGTCACCCCAATGGGGTCAAGAGTCCCCAGTTCCTAACCACTGGGTCACCAGCTGCCTGCACCTCACACCACACAGTCATTATTTCCTTTCCTTCCCCACTAGTCTAGAGTACATATGAAATCACTCTGTGTGTGTGTGTGTGTGTGTGTGTGTGTGTGTGTGTGTGTGTGTGTGTGTGTGAACTGTACCGAATGCCTGGCATGCAGTCAATGTGAACTTCTGGGAGATGACAGGGGAGGGGGAAAGCGGAGACTGTGGCCACACCTCAGAGAGTTTGCAGCAGCCTCATCACCTAGACCTGGGAGGAGTTAGTAACATCAGTGCCAGAAGCGAACTGCCAGCACGTCTGACTTGAGCATCTCCTGTGTCGCGATGCAGACGTGCATCCCACGCAGATGCACCACAGGGACGTGGACAACAGCAACTGCGCAGTGGGGCAAGGGTCTCAGCAGAGGCCCACAGCTCCCCTTTGCGTATTCCTGAAGCAGGCTACACTTCCAGGATTTCCCAAATACCTTTTTTTTTTTTCTTATTGGAAGTATTTTTTTTTTTTTAAATATCTTCTTTGGGAAATGTTAGAATGTGTATCTGGGAAGATCAAGGTCAGTGCAGCCTATGTGTAATTACTCTGAAGTGTCTAATGCAAGAGAGACTGCCTACTGGGGGCAGAGTGACAGGAGGTGTAGGCTAGGACCCCACAGACAAATGGAGAAACCGGTCACTTAGGGGAAATTCTGGATAAAACACCAATCCAAATCGAGATTCCCTGAGCAATCTCCACCACTGCGTTTTTTGTCTATAAAAGAACTCTCTCAATCTTGCCTTTTTCTGCCGGCTCAGAGCCACCCACAGCCGACTTTAGCCACAGCATTACCACCATTCTGCCTCAAGGCACACATCTCTCCTTTCACACTCCTCCCTCCCTGTACCTAGACCTGGGACCCACAGAGTACCCAATGCCACAATGTCCAAAGCGTAAGGTGCTGGGGCCCACAGACGCCCACCAGTGTTAGGAATTAGGAATTAGGTCACTCCCCTAAAGGTAGAAAGGCAGACACAGATACGTCAACCCTTACGTGGGGAAGACAGTAAAAGGGAAGCTGAACTTTCCCTAAGTGTTCAATTACCCATCCCGTGTCAGTTCAAAATCACGTAAAACCACTACATGTGCTGGTTAATCTTATCAGCTCGACTGGATTTAGAATCACCATGGAAACGCAACTCAAGGTATATCTATGAAGATGTTTTCAGACAGACTGAACTGAGGAAATAAAGACCAATCCACGATGGAGTTGATGCTGGGGCCCTGGGTGGGGTCCCAGACTGAATAAAAAGGACATGGAGCTGAGCCCAGCACCAGCCTGGTTCTGCCTCCGCTCCCTGACTGTGGGAGCAGTGTGAGCAGCTGCCTCCCGATCCTGCCACCCTGCCTTTCCCTCTTCTGTTCTCACCTTGTTTTTGTCAGGGGTTTGTTACAGCACCAAGAAAAGCAACGGATGCAGGGAGTTGGTGCTGCGGAGCGGGACCTGCTTCACGACATCCTCTGGTGCCTTCTACTCCTCTGCCCGATATATCTTTAGCCGATACCAGCTGCTATTCGGCTGACTGACTCCAAAGCGAGAGGCCAGACTTTCAGGGGCCTGATTCTTTGGGATGGAAAATGACCCTTTGCCACTGTTTCCTGCCTCAGGAGCTGGGTGCTGCCCTGACTGGCCCAGGCTCCAGCCAGCCAGCCCCACAGTTCCCAGTCACCAAGCCCACCATGTATGCTAACAAACAGAGCTTTCAAACTTATTTTTTTATAACATACTTTACGTACTTTTGTGCCTCCCAACTGGTTTTTGTACATGTAAATCCAAACTCATGTTCTGTGTTTTGATTTAATGTAACATTTTTTTTATTGAAAAAAAGTCGTTTTCAGAATTTCAAAAATGACCAACCACTTTTCTGTCATTCTTCATAACAAAGTAATGGGTGACTCAAGGCTGATTAACATCACTCTTACAGCTCAGCCACAAACCAATTAATTTGAGAGAAAAAAATCTTTTTTAGTAGATTTTTAAGTTGTTACTGCTACTAAGTCTCATGATATTAACAAACAAAATAAGCTGAAAAAAAAAAAGAAGAAAAAATGTTCCAAGGATGTAACAAGATGTTTTTTAAAGGGCTTCTGTGAGCTAGGACTTTGCCCTAAGTTAAGAAGGCTGGAGACAAAGCTAAAACCCTGACTGGCCCTGGCTCCAGCCACCCAGCCCTCCAGTTCCCAGACACCAAGCCAACCATGTATACTTACAGACGTTTCAAACTTCCCATTTTTTTCCCAAAGATCTGAGAAAGTCATGTGAGGTATGTGAAAGATGAAAGAGAGCAGATCTGTGTTCAATGATGGACAGTTATTTTGATTTGCTCCTGGTAACATTGACAAACACTGACTCGAAGGGCTGTGGTCAATCAAAATGACTACTTGGGAAAAGTCACAGATTGAGATGTGTTTAGAACTGTTTTGAGTTTTGTGCCTACGCTATATCTAAATGTCAAAAAAGGTTATTGATTTTTATATATAGTGGCCTTCTCATCCTAATACTTATAACATATATTTTCTGTTTTCCTATTGGATAGAGCCACATTCTTAGATAGCCCCTACCTCGATGACACTCTTTAAACTCCAAGTACCCATTTCCTCCACCCACCACCTTTACTTCTTTAAAATACACTATGTTATTAATTATTTTAATTTCAAACACTCACACATGAAGGTGTTACTTTAAACACAAAGGACAAAACCAAAAGATTCAGACTGGTTCATAGTGGCTAATAGATCCAGACAACGCAGACATTTCTCTCTTGAGCCTCTGGTAGTTATTTCTCTGTCCTGAAGGCCTGCCTTCCTGATTATCCAACCTCATCATCCTCAGACAGAAGCTAAGCTCTTAGCCACTGGCTTCCAAGATCTCCACCTGTGCTGGAACTTCAACAAGCCACACCTGTGCCCTTTAACCACAGCCATGGTGAGTGTGGAAAGGAAGCAAGGTATAGGTCCCAAGCCAAAATTAATCTTGGGCTATTTAGCTTTTTAATAGCCAATCCATTACCTCCTCTTTTTGTGACTTGACATTATTGTTCTAAAACTGCATAATGAAATTAACTCCAGGGACATCTATAAAAATCCAGTTTTATTAAGACCTATCTTCACCCTCTGAGGATTTTCCCACAACCTCCCTAACCTGCTTTCAAACGTCAAAAACACACCCTTCCACCCACCTCATTCCCTCTTCTTAATAAATTCAAAAATTTCAAAATTCTTCCTGGGTCTCTAGATCTACACCAGGTCATTCCTTAAATACATTCTTATGCCAGGCGGTGGCGGTGGCTCATGCCTTTAATCCCGGCACTCGGGAGGCAGAGGCAGGTGGATCTCTGTGAGTTTGAGGCCAGCCTGGGCTACAGAGTGAGTTCCAGGACAGGCACAAAGCTACACAGAGAAACCCTGTCTCGAAAAACAAACAAAACAAAATTCTTATTCTCATATCTACAGCCTCTCCTTCTGTTCTGCATGGTGATCCATCCAGAATACTGTCAAACATGCTAATTGGACTGGTAAACACAGATACTGGACTCTATAACCCAGAGACTGACAACCAAATAGACATGGGATGAAAGCTGGGGAGAGCCCAACCTAAGCTCCCTTATCTATGTCCCTATTCAGCTCGAACAACTCATACTTGAGGCAGCACCTCAGTCCCATGAGCTCCAGATCTCCCAACCCCTCAGGTCCTATCCCGTCATTTTGTATATCTATAAACAAAAAAGCTGAAAATGTTAGATCATGGCATGTTCCTTTAAGACAGTGGTCATTCTAAGAAGCCAGATCTCGTGAAGAAATCAGGTACTGTCTGTCCCCTTCTGAGAGCACTGAAATATACAGGTCTCAGCAAGGAAAACCCAAGGAGGAGAATGCACCTCCCCTGAAGCCCTGGTCCCTAACAGACTGTAGCAATGACAGGGCAGTGTAACCAAGCGTATCTCCTCACCTCTGCAGTCCGTGGCCTTGAGTTAGACCGGGTTCCTAATGCCTTTAAGCCATGTAGTCCCCTGTGAAATGTTACAAAAGTAAGCCATTCTTTTTGTTCCCAAAGATGTGAGCCTTCCTGATGGCTGACTCTAGGAACTGGATGCCTTCCTAGAGACACACACGAATGAAGAACCTCTGTTTTCTCAGAAATTTCTCAGAACGTGTCTATTGAAGCAGCTCTCTCACACACACCCACTGCTTCTGTCATTACCACTACTTGTCTATTTAACAAGGAAGATATGAAAATGTGCGGCTGGGCCAGGGAAGGGAGACAAAACTGTGGGTGGACAGCGTGGGTGCATTATTAGGCAGGGCATTGCAACTAAAGAGAAGTCAGGCAACATCTGGAGTTGGCAGGGCATGGCAGCCTCATCTATGTGATGGTTTGTCATGGAGGCTTGCACCAAGGTTCCGGGAAGCCACTGAGCCAGGCAGTATACAGCAGGGTCAGATTCCCTGTAAAGAGATCCTTGAGAGGTGATGGTATGAAGCAATGGAGACACCCACACATACACAAAATGGTGACATGCCAGGACTTTAGGATATCTATGGTGCAAAGCACATATGGTGCCACAGGCACAAAATTCAACTGGCCCAAGAGAGAGGGTATGCACTATAGACAACAGAACTGGAGAACTGGAGCTACCCAAGGCTGTTGGAGCCCACCAATTGCCACCAAGAGCCCCAGATGCTGGGCATGGAGCTGTAGATTTGGTGTTTGTCTTGCTGGATTTAAGCCCTTTGGTCTAATTGTTCCTTACTGTGTCCCCATTCCTCCTTTTTAGAGTGGGAATGTTTACTTCACTCCTTTGTATATTGTAAAAAGGTGACTTGGATTTGGTTTTCCAGGAGCTCACAGTTAGGAGATTGCCTTGAGTCTCACAAGACACTTTGATCTTAGCTTCTGAACAATGTTGGAACTTTTGAGACTGGGGGAACTCTTGAAGACAGACTAACAGCTTTTCGGAGACAGGGCTGGTAGAAGAGCAGTCATGGGGGCTTGTGTGTAAGTAAGCTAAGGAGATCTTGGCCCCTCCTCCTCTTTTTACTTCTGGGCCACCAAGAGTTAAGTAGCTTTGCTCTGCTGTGTGCTCCTCGGTAAGATGTCATGCCTCCTCATACATACGCATACATAAACACACAAAGATGAATAGTGAAGATTCACGGTAAGATTAAGAAATAGTAGCCTACACTGTTACTATTAGCTAAGAACTATTCCGGGGCAGAAAAGCCTGTGTTTATTCTTCATACACCTCCAATTGCTTGGCCAGCCGGTTCCTATCAAACCAACCCTGTAGTTAATGGATCTATGTGGTCTAAGCAAATGAAGAAAATGAAAAATAACATCCATGGGATGCCATTCAGTGCATACCATGTGTGGTAGCCCTGGGCTCAATCCCCAGAACCACGATAAGGGAGAGAGGGAAGAAGAGATGGAGAGAAATTACAATAAAAATAACTCGAGTGATAGCCCTTCGGATGTTTAAAAGCTGTAATTATCAGCATTTACAGCTCGGCAGTCCTGCTACTCGGCTGACTTACCAACTCAGAAATACAGTCAGAACCGTTTCTTTCTAAGGACACTAAGGTGCGGTCTCCTTTGACCATGGCAAATTGACACCAAGGAAATAAACAGAGCAGGGGGAGGCAAGAGGATAATGGTAAGGACGCGATGCGGAGAGAATAAAAGCGGACAACGCTGTTTCTCCTCTCCAAGCATCACACCACACACACAGCTGCTCTCCCCACAGCTCCACAGCACTACACAGCGTGGACCACCAGGATTGGAAGTAGCTGCCTGGCATCCTCACGGGGCTCCCGGCTGTAAACACGGCCTGTGGTAGTGCGGTGTCAGGAGGCCCCCCCGGAGACAACATATGTGCACGAATACGTCTTCTCTCCTGCACACTATTCCCTCTCACCTTATTAGTTCCATGAGCCATGGTCCCAAAAGAGAGAATTCATGATGGGAGAACCACGATCGGAAAATTCGGAGCAGCACCTGACAAACGTGGCGGCGAATGATACTGGAACCAGCCTCGAGGTGCTGCAGCAAGGCAAGAAGAAAAGCCAGATGCATCTTCCCATCCATCCAGCTGCAGCTTCGGTAGCCTTCAGGGAAAAAATGAGGGGCTTCTTCTCACTGTCTATCTCCTCTTTGCTCTTGACTCCCAAAGGTGAGCCTGAGGGCGGAACCTGTGGTTCCTCCTTTAAACGGCCATCAGGTGCCTTTGGGAAGGTCCAGCAGGCAATGCTTTTCATCCAAGCCCCGGGCAGATGCTTGGGCCTTGGGATGCACACGAGGACAAACAAGTAAAAATGCTGTGGAAAGCAGCATTTTACTCCTTCATGTTGCAGACACCCAGGGCTGAATCTGAGCTTGGCTGAAAGGAAGGCTGGGCCTGCTGGCTGTTTGGAAACTGCCATCCCATCTGTCTGGGAAGCCCACCCTATAGAGACTGTCTTCAGTGCTGACTGGCTCAGAGGTAGTGACACCCTGACACCAGGACTCACACCAGGGAGCTAGAAGCTGGCAGTGACCCTCTGGATATATAGACAGGGAACAGAGGGTGCTCCCCTGCACCATGGGGTCCTGCTACTCTAAGTATCTAATGTAGGTCAGATTGCCCCATACCAATAGAGTACTTAAAAATAACCTCACTGACAGGAAACACATCCTAAACAAGCTTCTTGGAATGGCAGAGAGAAATTATTCTTTGAGCAACTGAAAGTGCTGTTGCCAATGAATGCATAACAAACATTAGCACTACACCTTAAAACTACCTTTTTTCAGGGGTGCATAGGTAGTTTCAGAAGAACCCATGGTGGGAAAGTGGGATTAGCAGGCTCCAGACATCTTTCCCTGTAGTAAAAACTGTCGATCACCTCTTCTCCTGCCCACATTCCAACACTTCCATTAGCTCCCTGACTCTTCCATCCTCTAAGCCAGCTCCCCTTGAAGGGACACTAGCCTACTCAAAAATGTGCTCTGGCAGGCCATGACCTTTCCCCCCATTCCCTCTGCCTTGCTAAAAACCATTAGATTACATCCCTAAAGCTAGCCACCATGGTCTATTCCCTTATTTGGCCACTTCCTCCTCCTGGGGCTATCAAAGTCCAACAATCAAAAGTCCCCTTTGGTTCATCTAATTAACATGCTCAATAAAAATTAAACACCTCTTTCTAACATGGTTTCCCCCTTTATCTTTATTAAACCGCCATTTGCCTATGGGCCATGTCTGTCTCCCCTCTATCCAGAGACAGTCCTTTGTCCCTCCAAGACAAACAGCCCTTCCCCTTCCCCTTGTCCCCTTCCTGTTGTGGAATATTATTTTAACTGGGTAAATACACGTTACATTTGTTTATGCTGCATTTGTTTAATTATGAAAAGATGTGTTGCTGTCACCTTGCCTGTCTTAGGCACCTGATTGGTCTAATAAAAAGTTGAATGGCCAATAGCTAGGCAGGAAAAGGAGAGGTGGGGCTGGCGGGCAGAGAGAATAAATAGGAGGAGAAATGTAGGCTTGAGAAAAATGAAAGGAAGAAGAAGAGGGAAGAGAATGAGGGAGGAAGAGAGGGAGACACCTGGGGCCAGCCAGGCAGCCACCAGCCAGCAGACACAGAGTCAGACATACAGAAGGAAAGGTAAAAAGTCCTGAGACACGATGTAGATAAAGAGAAACAGATTAAAATAAGAGCTAAAATAAAGCCAAGCATTCATAACTAATAAGTCTCTGTGTCATGATTTGGGAGCTGGTTGGTGTCCCCAAAGAACAAGCCTGGTACACCTTCCCCTTCTCCCTCACCCCCCATCTCATTTACCACCACATCCTAGCCCATCCTAACACAGACCTCCCCTCTTTCACTCCTCTTAAACATTACACCTGCAAGGTCACTTGCTGCTGAGTCAGAAAGCTGCCACTTTAACTTTTCTTCCGCACTTAATAAAGGATCTCTCTGTGAAAACAGGTGTTTGGGTGTGGTTTGTGCCTAATCCAGAGTCTGAGATGAAGTCCCCACTGTACGGGGGTCTCCTCCACTCCTGGACATCCCTTTTTCTTAAGAACAAGCATTTCTCCCCATCTCCTGAACATCCAGCTTCCCTGATGGACCAAACAAAGACAAAGGCTCATTATCTCCACCCTTCTGCCAGGATGATGCTCATGCCAAAAGGCTGGTCAGAAACCTTCCTTTCCACATTAAGGACAAACAGAAATACAGGCCTTTGCCAAGTGAGTGCCAACAAGGACAGGCACAGAATTCCATATGGAGGCATCCTCCAGGAAAATGACAATCTAATTCATTTCTGTGAATCCATTTCTTTCAGGGACCGCAGGGTCTTCACAAGTCTCTTACTTTTGAAGTCACACTAGCATTACCGATATTACACATCTGTGTAAGCCTGTGTACACAATGGATTCATTCTTTCTCAAGAGAACACACACACACACACACACACACACACACACACACACACACAAACGTTTATTTACACCGTCAAGCTTTACACCATCTTCTGCTGTTTCATAGGAAATACTCAATGATGTGATTGATAGCTAACAGAATTTCAGGATGTATCTTCAGCTCTGTCCTTATTTGCCCAGGATACAGCTGTGACTTGTTTCAGAGCACACCACAGAATAAAAATCATGTCCCCAAGACTGATGATGTCCCCCTTAAAATCAACATTAGGACCAATACAATAACTTGCAAATAACAAAAAGAGCTTAAAATTGTACTCAGATAGATACTAAGCCACCACATTAAATAAACCTATTCAATTAACACATGGACATCTTTTCTCTAACACCTGATGCCTCAAAGAGAATTTCCTCCACCAATTAGGCTTAGTGCACACCTTTATAGTGGTAAACAGGGCCAGAGAGTAATGTTTTGAGTTAGTGTTTCCTGACTCTGTATTCAGTCCAGAAAATGCTTCTCAACTAAACTCTAGGTGCTGGAACATGACAGGTGTCCTTGACCTTTGGAGATGGCACCAGACCTTTCCAGAACATCACAGGAAAGGTTATGATGCTACAGAGCTAGCCCGTCCTCCCCTGGCCTTCTCTCCCCCTCTGGCTCCTTTGCAGGCCATAAGACAAGGGTCTCTTCTACTTCACTCACTGCTAGAGTTCCAGTCGCCTACGAGTCATGTTTTGAACATTCATTCCCCCTTTTTTAGTCACAAGTGCTCAAGCCTCATGAATGGGATTAGTCCCCTATGAGAAGCAGCTCCAGTGCACTGCCTGTCCACATCATATGAACACACAGCAACAAAGCATCATCTACGAGGCTCAGAGCCCCTGCCGGACACCGAGCATGCTGGTACCTTCATATTGGACTCCCCATCCTCCAGAGTTGTGAGCGATAAACATCTGTTGTTTATAGGCCTAAGGTGTTTTGTCCTAGCATCAAGGACAGACAAAGAGCATGGGTGAGATGGCTCAGTGGGTAAAGAACTTGCTCCACAAGCCCGATGACCTGAGTTCAATTCCCAGAACCCACATAAAGGTGAAAGGAGAGAACCAACTCCACCAAGTTGTCCTCTGACCTACACACACACACACACACACACACACACACACACACACACACACACTCACACAATAGTAATAAGGTTAAAATAAAAAAAGAACACACTAAGAGAATGCACAGGCCAAGATCACAGCAGACATGCTCTATGTACTGTGGAATCTCATGATGTTAATGCATTACAAAGTTAGTCTCTGCTTCTTTCAACTCTGAACATGAGAGTAAATAAGAAGTGCTTCCTAATCTATGCTCCGTGGGAGGGGAGTTGAGAGCTCTCCAAGGCAAGAAGATCCCGGGGAATGGTAGACAATGCTGAGCCAACCAGGTACCTTGCATATCCTCACAGCCACAAGCACACAGCTTTGCTTCTTTCCCGAGCTTGGGGTTCCAGAGTCTCTTTGGGAGACTTTCTCCACCTGGGAGAGTCTTGGACAGCAAGGAAGTATCTGTGCTCAGCCTAAACCAGTTCTGGAAACACACATGGAGTCTTAAATTTTTCATTTTTAAGCTTCCACTGCATTTGTGTGAAAATCCCTTATGGCTTAAGTACTCCCCTCCATGGACAGCAAATGTAAAGGATTTTAAAGGATTTGGTAAAATTCCTTCCAGGAATATTCTGTGACAAAATACTAACTGCTTTTTACTTATGTCATTAACTCTATATGGGTACCTATTTTCAAAAGTTATGATTATGTCTGTAAGCATATGCACGATTGTTTGTATATATCTACATAGATAGTAGATACATGATAGATAGATGATAGTGATAAATAGTAAATTGACAGATGATGATAGTGGACAGATGACTGATAGATGAAAGAGACAGACATGGGTACATAGATGAATAATAAATAGATATGACATGTACAGACTGAATTTTGACCACCTTATAATTTTTGTGGCCAAGCCCTTAACCCCTGATACTTCAGAATGTGACTGTATTTGGAAAGAGGACTTCTAAATTAGTTGAACAGAGCATCTAATGGATATCCTGAGAGAGATGGGAACACACAGAGGGATCACATGTGACCAGGCAGCAAAAGCACAGCCATCAGTGAGCCAAGGCCAGAAGCCTGTGACACGGCCTTCCCTTATTGCCCTCAGTGAAGACCACTCACGTCTGGTGTTTAAGCTTCTCTGCCTGGGGCATCTTGAGTTCAAGCAAACTTATGTAAGTGCTGAATAAATTTAAGGAAGACACTGTTCTCTTGGATGAATTAAACTTTCATTAGAAACAAAACTGTCATTTAATCTGAATTTCAAAGTCCATTAATTATATTTACCTTACTTTATCCCAACCATTCTTACAGTAATGAAACAATAAATATACCTTTGAAAAGAAAGCTATTTCCAAACTGTCATTAATCCACCCTCTCTGGACCACCTTCAACAGGTACATAAAGTCCCTACAAGAATGTTCTCTAAGGATAAGGAGAAGTGATTGTTCTAGACAAGTTAAAATTAGGAGGAGAAAGTTCAGATCAAAAACTGTGAGTGTAACCATGAGAGACTTAGTGGAGATATAAAATTCCAGGCCTGTACACTCTAGAATTCAGGCTTATATATAGAATCATTCTCAC